ATAGATAGATAGATAGATCCATAGTACTTGGCACATATTCATCCTTACAGGTTTCTTGGAAGTATTCACAGCTTTTCTGTCTCTTCTGAAGATCCACAAGGCTGCTGCCCTCATCTGTCTTCAAACACACCACATCTGGGCACTGCCAGCTGCAGAGGTGTCTCAGACTGGCCTGATGCCACAGAATGTGGCAGAGGTGCCAACAGGCCAACCAGCCCATGTGCCCTCAAATTGCCTCTTCTTCCGGTGCTACAGACTAACTAGTGCTAATAAGCTCTAATGACACTGTGCAGTGAGTGATGTCTGCAAGGTAGAGTCAGTTGAACCATACTGAATGATAATGAAGTGTTGAGGAACCAGCTGAATTGCAGAGATTGGTGATAATTGGTGGGTTCATCACTACAAGCAACGCCTTTCACATACAAATAGTTATTTCAACTAAATTTACCTGGATATTCATATGGTTTCTTGTCAGATGATTCTGGAAGCTGTGCATTGGCATGTTATAGGATATAGGACATAGTTGGTGAACTGCAATGTGTTTTCCACCTCTTGCCATCAAAATGCACTGACACATTAAAAAAACAGTGTGAGGACATTGAACCAGAGAGTCCTCAGTTCAGAACTCATACATCAAACCCCTTGCAGCTTTTCAGCAAAAAACCCTCTGCAGCTAAAAACAAAATGAATCATGGGATGTCAGTGGGGTGGATGCCGGAACACCTGAGGTAGAAGCTGACATTGTACACATGCAGGCACACACACTGGGTGTGAGGACATGTAAATGGGCCACATACGCTGCTAGTCGTAGTAAATTAGGCCAACATCTGGACAGGCACAGAGAGTTCAATTGCCCACTCAGCTGTGGCTTGTACCTCGAGGGCTCGGTTAAGGAGAAGTGGCATCATGGCACAGTCCAGTGAGCTTCAACTCTGCCATTTTGTTAAGACTTTGCCATACACAGCCACCTTTGAAAAGTTCTTTGTCTACAACACAAACAGTGGGTCACTCTGACCCAGGATTACTCTGTTGCCATGGACAAAAGCTAGAGAGAGGGCGCATTTTACACACACAAAGCCAATTTAACGGGCTGCAAAACACAGTGGATTAATTCTGATTCACACACATGTTAAACTAATCAGAATATCAATCCAAATCGCAAAATTAAATTCATAAGAGTGCATCATTATCTCCCCAGTGGCATTTTAATCAATTAATTAAAATTTTAGATTGATGATGAATTCTCTTTTCTCCTTGTAGTTGTAGTGATTATATTCTAGTTCAAAGGTATGCGAGACCAAAATAAATAATAATAATTGGATTGAGCGCTGACAGCTTAGTACAATGAGTCAGTGTTCAAGCTGGACTGGACAGTTTTTCTGGACGTTGGTGTAGGGTGATCTGAGGGGAGTTATGCAGCACAGAGTGGACAGCCCTCAGTGCTGTTGTGTAATATTAACATCATGTTCTTGGTCCTCAGATAACTGTCTGCAAGGACACAACAACACAACAGCACATTCCAGAAGTAACCTGTCACATTATGTTTCCTGTGTGTAGCAAGCAGATTCAAATCTACCATATTGTCATCTTGGGAAAATAAAAATAAAACCTTTGCTCATGAACGCTACAGAGAAAAGTGCGTGTACCCATCTACGTGCATCTGTGCAGATATGTCATAATCTTTGATTACTGATGAGGTGTGATGATGTGCCGAGTCCTGCAGTATGTGTTCTCTCTTTCTCTCTATCTCTCCCTCTCTCTCTCCCTCTCTCTCTCTCTCCCCCTCTCTCTCTCTCTCTCTCTCTCTCTCTCACACACACAGACACCAGATTCTCTGCCTCTGCCGCAGTGCAGGGCAGGGCCAGAATATCCAAACCCATCAATTCCCAATTCAGCCAGTTTTGCATTCAAAAAAGGGGGGTAGTGTAACAGGATTTAACAGGACATGATCACAGCATTTCTATTATGCCTTTTATCTTCACAGTCTCTACAAGCTCCTTCAAAAAGGCTGGCAGTAAAATCTAGCTCTTTTTTTAATGTTCTATTTAGATGCACAATCTCAGAGGAAATATTGGGCTATGAGTTAAGAGATAAGTGTCATTGGATTCATTAGAAACTCAAAATATTCTCTTTCTTGTGTATGATTTACTTGTTGATCACTTTTACGAAATCCTCGCCTTATCCTCTGCATCGTCGTTTAACATACACAGCACCGGTAACTGCCCACCTGAACAGATCTTCCCTCTGTAACTTCAAGCTCAGTGGGGACTAAACATTATGTTGCAGCTCCTCCACCCCTCCTCTCTGTGTAACCCCTGACCCCAAACTCCCGCCTGTGGCTAAACCTTCAGCTCCTCTAGAGCTCTCTCTTGACCTTGTGTTTCCCTGGCAGTACCACCAATGAGCTCAGTCAAATGTGAGCAATTGTTTAATGTTCCCTGTGGCCACAGTGGGAGAGCACAAGTTGTTCCCCTGAAACCAAATGTTGTTTTTTTTCAAGAAATGAGACATTGCTGTATTGTTTTTAGGACACATCCTTATGCATTAACTGGGATGGGCCAGAAACGTGTCCGTGGCACAAGTCATGCAAATTGAGCAGATGCAGGCTGGATGAGTAATCATTGGTTTATTCTAATCCTTACACGCTATTTGTGTGCTCGCTCTGGTATATGTTTACTTGCTCCTTTTTGCCAGAAGAGCCTATTTCCTCAATCCTCAAATGTTTACATGAGGTGGCAGGTATTTGTTGGTAGAAAATAAAAATGTGCACATTTAAGTGATCATACGTGGGATGTTGTGCATGACTTTGCATAAGGTGCCCTGTACCAAGTTTTAGGACTTTATGTATTATGATTTAACCTGAAAAGGACTGCATATAAAAAATCTGGTGTAATACACCAAATGGCAATGTTTATGTTTAATTTTGTACATAGTTCATTACAAATAAATAATATAAACATAAAATTGGCCCGGTATATTTATAAGCCTAACTGTGTCTTGGGTTTTGTTGGTGACTCTATTGGGCACATTTTATACGGAGGATGTTCTCTACGGTGAGTGCACCAATCCAAACCCTACATCCAAAACATAAACACAGTAGACAAACATACACACAATATGCACATGCTCTGTGCCCTTCTTTGTGATCACTGGGCAACCACACACAAAGGCTGAGGCGTGCTCTGCTGTGCACAATGTGACAGTGTCTGAGCACAAGGCTGTACCCTCAACACACAAACACACACTGAGAAACACACACAGTGGATTTGGCTGTGGGCCACATCCTGCGTGTGTCTGCACAAGCCAAAATAACATGGAGACATCCAGTACAGCGCCCATAAGCGCCGTCCCCTCAGCTGCACCAGTGGAGAAATAAGCAGGGCCCGATGCTTTGTCCTTCATGCTGATTAAAATGCTAGATTAGGTCAGCTGCAGCAGACTGAGTGCACAGCAGTGATAATTACTCCATAATTACACCTAAATACACATTGTGTCTCTGCTGTGTTTCACCCCCATCATTTCACTTTTTACCCAGTGGTCATGTGCAAAGAGCACTGCTTTAATTGCACACATCAAAGTACTGAATCCAAATCTGGCCGCCTAAGTTGATGGATGAACCTGTTTTATAACTCAGAAGAAAAACATCAGCAGCTATTAAAGGCACTAGTACATTCCTCCAAACAGAGCAAGTCTTCATCAGTGATCAGCATGCATGCATGTGTCCAA